GAGGAAGCGGAAGTTCTAGGCACTCTGCATAGTTAAGGAGCAGTGGCCTGGAACCCAGGACCAAGAGTCTATGGCCGGCGTGTGTCCTTCCATGTGTGCAGTTGGGAGGTTGAAGAGTCTCTAACCCTGAGGCAAAGTTTGGGGTTTTTGCTCAGTCCTCATTCATGTACCCCCACCCATGTCCTATGTCCTAGAAGTTCTTAAGGTCTAACTCAGAGGAACTTCTTAGCCCCTGGTGCAATGGGCTGGGGCTCCAGGCGAGAAGGAGCTTTGTTAATGAGGATGCTGTGTGGATAAGTGGGTGACAAATAGTGGCCACACATCACACCTTCCTCCCTTGGGCTAGGGCTGTTATCACAGCTCTGCAGACTTTCCCCACACCCAGTGCCCTCTCCTTCTCTGGGCTTTGGACTCCTCCTGTCCAAAGGAAAGTGCTATACCTGCCTGCTTTTCTCCCAGGATCTCGCTAAAGGAGACTGAATTTGCTGGGGCTGTGGAGGACAGGGGGCAGAGATTAAAAGGTGACACTCGGTACTGGTGCTACTTGGGGAAAGGAGTGTGGTGGGCATTGGTGATGATGGGGCAATTGGGCAGCAGATTTTCAAAAGCCTCAAAAAAAGTTTCTGTCTCTTGACCTGGCATTTCTACTCCTAAGACTTTATCCTAAGCAAAGCATCCTAGCTTTGGAAGCAACCTCAGCAGTTTGCATGGGCTAAGCAAATCTTTACTGTATCTGTTATCAGTGATTAAACCCAAAGGCACCCTGCGGTTGCTGGGCTAGGTGGATGGTTGTGGGCATGGCGAAAGCCCCGGGCCACCAAAATGGAGTCAGAGTACCTTGAGGCGGAGCTGCAGCCTGCCCTCCCTGACAAGCAGACCAGCCAGGAAAGGAAGTGTTTCTGCAAGGGCAGGTCTCGTAGGCCCCCGATGAACAAATTCTGGGTTATAGCATATGAACAAGTACCACCGAGTACTTTAGCTCAAGTTTTGACAAAATTGAATCATCTGTATAGATACAAGGACAAGATATGGAGTGCAGCAGTTTCCAAAGAGTACCAGACTTATAGCTGGAGGGGCGAGTCCTTAGGCCTTCTTTGATCTGGATTGACTCGTGGTGACAAGAGTGACCAGAGAACACACTATCCACAGCAAGTGTGGGGACTTAAGTGTTTTGTGAGTCTCCTCCCCCCAAGATCTCTGGGTACAGCCTCACCAGCACTCCTCACTGCCCCAACTTCCTCAGCCACCTGGACTCCAGCATGGAGGGTGGTGGCAGCTGGGTAAGCAGAAGGCCTTAGGGAGTGCTTGATGATGGCACTCAGGCTCTGTGGGCCTGTGGTGGGCTGGGCTCTTCTGCTGGGATCCAGAGGGCAGTGGGTGCTAGGCTGCCTGGGGGCAAGTGGTGCTGCATCCAGGCTAAGAGAAACCCTAGAGAGAGGGACCCTCAGTGTGTCTGCAGTAGGGTAGGGGACTATATAGGGGCTGGGCTGGCCATCTCCCACACTTCCCTAGATCTTGAAGGCCAGCTCGGCCTGTCCTCACCTCTAAGGGCTGTGCCACTCCAGCCTGATGGTTCTGTCTCTGGCTCTTTCAGACGAGCCAAACTTAGGCTCTACCTGGAGCAGCTCAAGCAGCTTGTGCCCCTGGGCCCTGACAGCACCCGCCATACCACGCTGAGCCTCCTGAAGCGTGCCAAGATGCACATCAAGGTGAGCAGGCCATGCCCTCCACCCATTGCCCTATCCAGCTGCCTTGGGTAACCCTAGCCTGACCCCACTTGCCCTGGAAGAGTGTCCAGTGGGGGTCCTGGGCAGCCTTTTGACCAGCAGCTACGGAGGTGGGTGGGGAGCTGCCCAGCAGGTGCATGTTGGGAACTTGGAGATCTCTGATGGTGGAGAGGGACAGCAACAGAAGCTGCTGGGGCAGGGGGCCAGAAATCTGGAGGTTTTTGAATGGTAGATGGTAATGGGGTGGGAGATCATACAGTGGCCAGGCTGGGCTGGGGAGGGTCCTGGGCACAGACAGTGGGGTTGGAAGGCTTAGGGGCTTCTTTTGTGCTGTTGTCAAGTCAGCGGCCCAGTGAGGCAGCTACGTTGGAGGTGGGGGCTGCTCCCTGGGGGATGGCAGTGGGCCACTGCCTGGGACAGTGTGCCCCGCCAAGCCATTAGACTGCGACCTGCTGGTTTGGGGGGTATTATGACATCTGGGTGAACAGAGTGGGTCTCTGTACTCCAGAAGGCCTCCTCCGCCTGCATAAGCATGGACTCCTCCAGGTAGGGCTGGCATCAGCTTTGAGAGAGACACAGCCACGTCCCTGGAGGCCCTCACAGAGCAGGTGGCATCTCTTTTAGGCCCATGGGCAAGTTTAGAGAAGGTGGGAGGGCAAGGCACAGACACTACAGAGATAGATGTGGCATTTAGGCCAAAGCCTTGGGGTGGGTTGGAGCCAGGAGTGTATGAGAAGAGCAGCTGTGGGCAGGGCTCTCCCCCCAAAAGGTGTAACCAAGAGCTGGGTGATGCCATCCCAGAGCTTTTAAGCCCATGTGTGACTTGGCTTGGCCAAGGCTGGCTGGTGATGGGCATTCTAGAGGTAATAGATGAGAAGCCCAGGACTTGGCTCTGGGGCCAGAGGGGCATACATCAGGTCTTGGGGGCCAGAGGGGACAGGGAGAGTGTGGTCTGCCCAGGCCTTTGTGCCCTGGCGCTTAGTGGGAGTGGGCCTCCCAGCTGAGGGTTCACAGCCTCCCCCTCACCCCCGGTTCTGCATCTAGAAACTGGAGGAGCAGGACCGCAGGGCACTGAGCATCAAGGAGCAGCTGCAGCGGGAGCATCGCTTCCTGAAGCGGCGCCTGGAGCAGCTGTCGGTGCAGAGCATGGAGCGAGTGCGCACAGACAGCACTGGCTCTGCCGTCTCCACAGATGACTCGGAACAAGGTGGGAACTCGGGGGCAGCCTGACCCAGGCTGTGGGGCACAGGCATCATGCAACTCCCTGGGTGGAAAAGGAGGTACCTGGGGGTAGGGGTTGAGGATGATGGCTGGTGACACCCCCGCACTGTCTGAGCACCCTGTATGCAGTTGCTCTTTGGTTTCTCACCATCTCAGCGTGCAGAAGGATGGGTTGAGGAGGGTATGGCATAGAGGCTGAGTGACCTGCCCACATGAGGGCCAGCAAAGGCTGGCTCAGTCCTGGGCAGTATGCTTCAGAGGCTATGCTTTTTGTTTTTTCCTTTAGGCAGTGTCTGTTACAATCCTCTGCCTCTGCCTCTCCACTGGACTACAGGTGTTCACTAACACACCTGCCTTTTTTTTTTTAGATGGTGCCTCACTATGTTGGCCAGGCCAGCTTCAAGCTTGCAGGCCTCCTACCTCAGCCTCCTCTAGTCACTGGGATTACAGGTGTACACCACTATGTCCAGCCTTTAGGCTGGGCTAGGGAACCGAACCCAGGATTCCCATGTGGTCCCAGCCTATGTGTGGAGTGCAGAGTAACATATGCCACTTTGGCTGGCCCAAAGCTGTGTTCTTAACTGAAGCTGTTGATCAGGAGCCCATCCTAGTGCCTGCTGCCTTTAGTCCCATCCCCAGTGCCTCTAATTCCAGAAAGGGGGAGATAGGCCCTAACTTTGAAGGAAGCCTCAGGCTGGCACCGTCCGACTGGCCTGACCCCACTCCCTCTCTGTTCTCCTCAGAAGTGGACATAGAGGGCATGGAGTTTGGCCCCAGTGAGCTGGACAGTGTTGGCAGCAGCAGTGACGCAGATGACCACTACAGCCTGCAGAGTGGCGGCTGCAGCGACGGCGGCTATGGCCCCCCCTGCCGGCGGCCTGGCCACCCTGGCCTCTTGTAGGCCTGTGCCCTCTGCTCCTTGGCCTGCCTGCCCGCCTGGCCCAGCCTGTCCGCCCTCCAGTCCTTCCTTGACCGACGCCCG